ACGGACAAAGCATGCAGTCCCCGTGATTTTTTAAAACATTATTTGTATTTTTAAATCGCTGTATGCAGTGTAGCGAGGGGGCATTTTAAAACTCAAATCTAATGTGATAGATGATACATGGTTGTAAACGTATTCAAGTCACAAGCATGACGAATTTCTGGTGAGAATTAGCCATACAAAGTAGTCTATTTCAATGATGCATCCAGAGGAGAGCAGAAAAAAAAGTCTTTTGTGTTGAATTAGACCAATATATCAAAGTGCTTTGTCTATAGTTAATGTCTAAACCACAGGTCCCACGAATCTTTACATGGCCTGGTACTTGGTAGAAAGTTACAGGCCAAATACTAACTTTTGTCTTATTGACACCTGGCAGCCAAAAGCAGCATCCATTTCATTTAACTCTTGTCAAATGCAGGATCAGCACTGAGCTAGAGTTACTGTGTTTTCTGAATGTGCAGGTTGCATTTCTTTCCTGGCATTTGTTGCATTTTATTTTCCATTCATGTTGCCCCTTCCAGCATTAAAAGACATTCTGCTTGTCATTAGTGCACATTACTGAAACTGGCAGTGAGTCAGAAGATCTCTAATCCTCCGTGCAGCCCTGTTACACTCATGTTATTTTTTTAAACCCTGTCAGTCCTGTCACTATCTCAGGAAGAAATGGAGCTTCATTCTACTGGGATTCAGGTGAACTCACACATGGTTCCTGCCTTAAAGATTAAAAGATAGGTAGGTTGTTTTGCCCACAGCTAGCTGAGGTGCCCACAGGTTGTTTGCTCACCTAACTACATCAGGAAAGCAGGTGCACACAGATCTAGTTGTGCTGGTTCCTCTGTCTCTCTCCACCCTTAGCTTGCCAAATAACCCTGTTCCTGGTAAACTGCGATGTGCAGAAGAGATCAGGGTCCAATATAGAGAGGCCAACAGACAATGGTGGCTGAGAGGTAGTTCCACGACATGTGGTCAATGTTGCCTCCTCTCTCGGGTCTTGACCTGGACTAACCCATCCCCTAGGAGCCAGAGACACTGTTTTCTCCCAAGCACAGTGCTGTCGTAGCCAAAGACACATCTAAGAGCCTTGCCTAAACTCTGAAGACCATCTGGGCAGAAGATATACAATGTGTTGGGATTTAAAAGAAAAAGAGGATTCTGAAACACCACCATTGAATAAATTCATAATGGCGACTAAAAATACATTTTATAGGTGTAGCAGAAACATTTCAAAGACTGAACATAAATGGTAAATTACATTTTCCTTCTTTGGCTGTTAAATATGTATGACTATTCAATTATACAGCTTATCAGCTCAAGAATTCTCAAATTTCATTACGTTTAGCTACATTTATTATTATTATTTCTTATTAACAACAAATGAAAATATATCTATGCAATCACTAGAGTTAAAGAGAGAAAAGACCTCTTAGGTCAGCAAGTTCATCTTCCTGCCATTGCAGTTATTTCCTATTGCATATTTATTTATGCTTCTCAAATCTAATTTTGTATTCCACAAATAGTAAAATAATTCCATCATTTCCATTGTGGAGAGTATTACAGAATTTAGTGCCTCTTGCTATGAAAAATGATCAGAGCTATCTCAATATACGGAAACAAGGTATCCTCATCTTCTTTTTAGTCTCTTTTACATACATTCATCATTGTGAAGTAACAGAGAGAGCTGGAAAATGCAATGTTTTTTGTTAATCTCCAGGAACTCTGAAGGATGTTAATGGCTTTTTGTTCACGACAAGACTAGGGCCGGTTGAGTAGTGCTACAAAACCTGCTGGCACAAAGGCTCAACGTACCGCCGGCAAGAACTACTTTGTGCACTGCTCTGATCCCAGCGGGAGGCTGCGGAGGAGCAGGACTGATGCTGGCCTGGCCCAAGGCACGCCGTGGAGCATGCCACGTTTTACCATGCTACCCGTCTGTTCCCTACTCACCCAACATTGTGCAAATGCGCCGAGCGGCCTTTCCTTACTT